TATATTTTTCTTTATTTTACTTTGCATAGCCCTCACTTTTCCCTCCATTTTGTGACCATACTCAACCATTTCTGTGAGCATCCTGATTACCAGCATTTTGAACTGTGCATCTGATAGGTTGGCTATCTCTTTGTCACTTAGTTCTTTTTCTGGAGTTTTGATCTGTTCTTTCATTTGGGCCATAATTCTTTGTTTCAGTGTACCTGTTATGTTGTAAGGGGCCGGAGCCTTAGATATTTGTCAAGGTGGGGCAACCCACTTTACTGCACTGTGGTGCCATATGTGGGGTGGTGGTAAGAGACAAAACAGTGCCACTTGCTCAGCTCTTGCCCTGCTTTCAGTCACTTCCCCCACTTCCCACAGACAAATTGCGCCCTTCCAGGTGCTGCCCCAGTGCTGATTCTGGGATGGGTGGGCTTGTATATGTCCTAGGACCCCATGGGCCTCTACAATGGACTCTCCTGTGAGACTAGCAGTTTCCCCCCCCCACCCCCGCCCACCGCAGCAACACCCACAGGTTTATACAGCCAGAGATTTTGAGGTTTAGTTCCCTGTGCTGGAACACTGGGTTGCGTGGTCTGTCTCACTCCCAAGTTCTTCCCAGTTTATCTGCACATGAATGTGGGGCCACCTGGCCCGCCAGCCACCCCCTTTGCCATACATCCTCTGTGCCCCTCCTACCAGTCTGGATGAATGTTTCTTCTTTAACTCCTTGGTTCCATACAGTTCAATTTTCTGGCAGTTCTGGTTGGTTTTTGTTTTTAAATTAGTTGTTATCCTTTTATGCAGTTATGCAAGAAAGCTAAGCGTATCTACCTATGCCTTCATCTCAGCTGGAAGTCTGTACTTTAGAAAAATAATGTATTTGGCTTGGGTTTCTTGAATTTCATATGAATTTTAGAACCATCTTGTTAATTTCTACCAAGAAACCAGCTGGTTTTTTGGTAGGGATCACACTGAATTTGAGATGAATTTAGAGAGTATTGCCATTAACTATATTAGCTGTTTTAATCTTGAACATAGATGACTTTCCATTTATTTAGGTCTTCAATTTGTTTCAACAATTCAGTGTAGTTTTCAGTTTCTTGCACTTTGTTGGTTAAATTTATTCCTGAGTATTTTATTTCTTTTGGTCCTATTGCGAATTGAATTGTTTCCTTAACTTTATGTTTAAATCTTTCATTGCTTGTGTAGAGGAATTCAATTGATTTTGTTTGTTGATCTAATATCCTTTAACCTTTCAGCACTCATACTTTGTTTTTTGTTAATTTCTTGGGATTTTCTATATGTAAGATCATGTCACCCTTTCCAGGTAGCTCAGTTAGTTATAGCATAGTCCCAATTCTCCAAGGTTGCAGGTTTGATTCCCCAGTCAGGGTACATTTAAGAATAAACCAATGAATACATAAATAAGTGGAACAACAAATAGATGTTTCTCTCTCCCTTCCTCCCTCCCTATCCCCTCTCCCTCTCACTTCATCTCCCTCTCTATAATCAATAAATAAAAATAAAAATAAAAGATCATGTCATAATGTGGAGATCATTTTACTTTTTCCTTTCCAATCTGGATGGCTTTTATTTCATTTTCTTTCCTAATTGCTCTGGCTAGAATATCTGGCTAGTACAGTGTTGGATATAAGGGGCAACCTTGTCTTACTGTAAAGCATGGTTTTGATTCTCACTTCTGACAAGTTTTAAACTTTAAAGATATTTCAAATTCCTTTCTATATGATTTTATTTGGTAATTTAAAAAGTGAACTTTCTGTTGCTATTTTTTTCTATATGGCTGGAAATGAATAGACTTTTGTTCCAAAGTGTTTATCAGTAAGTAGTTATCTTGGTCTTCATGCATAAATCTGAAATTTTATTATTATTTACAATCTACTAAAGTTCTACATTATAAGTCCAAACCCTTAAAATAATGTAAAACACGTTTCTAGTTTTACAGAGTTTATTTTGAGGTGACTCAGGATGGAAAGGAAATTATACTTCTTTTCTTTTTTTAATTTTTATTTATTGATTTCAGAGAGAGAGAAGAAGAGAGAGAGAAACATTGATCTGCTGCCCCACTTACTATATGCATTCCCTGGTTGACTCTTGCATGTGCTTCAACTAGAAATTGAACCCATACTCAATTTGGGAATATCATGAGGATGCTCCAGCTGAGCCACTTGGCCAGGGCACAAACTGCCTTCCTCTTACACTGACAGAAATGAAAGATGAACATGACAGGATAAGCTTTGTTCCCTTATTATTAAGAGCCATTTTTGTGGGGAAGCAAAGGTTAGTTCTCCCTAATGAAAAACATAACCCCAACATCCTAATTTATCTTAATCAGCTATAGAATTTTGTAAATATATCTGTCTTTTAAAATATATTTTTTCATTTATAATCAAATAGCCTTCAAACTTAATACAGTTCTTCAGTTTCAAAGGATTGTTGCTGGGTTTAGTATTCCAGCATTTCATTTACATTCAGACCAGCAAACACACATTGAGTCTCTCTAATATGCTGGAGTTCTACTGGATACTGGGATGTTAAGGTCATTAAGTCTCTGACCTCAAAAAGTTCACCTTCTAGCATTGAGGAATAATAATTGTTCACTATTCATGATTTTATAAACTTTGTTCACCACGTACTTTATTTCCAGATCCTTTTTTTACCTGGCTACTTGCTCATTTTGTTGTAGGAAAAACTCAGTTCTTTTTGCCAACACAATAAAGAGTTACAGATCAGCAAGTCTATTTACATGCAAGCAAAGTGATGAGGGATAGTGGTAAGTTTTCATGGGAGAGGATGGGCCTAGCCAAGTTAGGGATGAAAGGCATAGGCTTGGGCTACAAAAAGCATCAGGTCCTTTGTCCTGAGGACTTACATTCTTGAGGGATGAGGTGAGGGAGTTACATATTGATTGGTGGGTAAAGGTGGTGCCAGCTTTCCCCAGGGACTGAAGTGACCACCTAAACATAGGTATGTGTGCAGGGTTGTTAACCCAGATTCTTACCTTGCTCCATACCACCTTTTGTCATCCGTTGTAAAACAGATGACCAGAAGCAGTTAATCAAAGTTGAGGCAGTTACCCAAAGTTATTTATGGGCTCTTTTTGTAAGCCTAGGGACCCCATCTTAAAACAGATAGTATGGCTAGAGGCAGGCAGTTAACCAAGTTGTTTTATGGGCTTTTTCTTTGGGCACTGTGGGCCCCTTCCTCTTCCCCTTTCTTGACCTTGGGATGAATACACAGTTTCAAAGGCTTTCTCCCAGATAGTGGAAACAATACATACAGAATTTCAAGGGCTCCCCTCCTCCTGTGCTATCATGGTGTTTCTTGGGATGTTTGGAACACCTGGCAATCGTATTGGACCAGGCTCAGGACGGCTGAGTTAGTGCGTGAGACATGTCTCCTTCTTCCTCCCTGCGTTGGTTTAATATCTATCCTACCTAACATTTTCTCTTTTGATTTTTTCCCAGGACCTTAGCTGGATTTCCTATTTTCTGGGTATTCCCTGAAGTAGAACTTTACAATTCATTTTGGCTATAGCAGTTTATTGAAATTTCTTCAGAGAATACTGTGTACAAGGAGTTAGCAAACTTTTTGTTCAAGGGCCATATACAATCTTTTTTGGCATATTCATTTTTGTTTTTTAAAATAACTCTTTAATATGGAAAAATAATTCTTAGTTTGTAGGTTTATACAAATAGGGCATAGTTTATGACCCCTGATCTATACTACCTTTCTAAAAATATGTTTGGAGTCTCTTAACTCCACTAGATCCTTTGCAGAAAGGATTACATGGTCAAATAAATTTGTCAAGTGTTTTTTGCTATATCATTCTCCTGAAGGCTTATAAGGCTCATTAGCATTTCGAAGACTTTTAAAAGCCTTCTGTATACTGTATATAAGCGCTTTTCTTCTAGGAGATTTGTGAGTTTGGGGGGGCAGGGTACATACATTCTTTATTTGTACTTCATAGAACTAGTTTTTCAGAAAGCCTACCTATATACAATCTCTAGATTATTTATGGGTTATAATTTATAATCAGAGACTTGTTTTTCCTCTAAATTAACTATTGGGTTGGCCAAAAATTGTTTTTTTCTATAAGATTGTTCTAGAAGCACTTAATTGTCTTTTAACTGTATCTGAAACAATTTTGTTAGATCATGTTGTGACAGTTGTTCTATCAGCATACATTTTAAAAAACATCACCCTGGTTGGTTTGTGGATTGGGTGCCACTGCTGCTTTTGGCCTGGAAACCAAAAGGTCTCCAGTTCAATTCCTGGTTGAGGCACCTGCCTGGGTTGTGCAGTGGGTCCCTGAACATGTGTCCAGAGAGATCAATGTATCTCTCGCACATCGATGTTTCTCTCCCTCTCTGTTTCTCCCTCCTCCTCTCTCTAAAAAAATAAAGTCTTTTATAAAAAACATTGGAATTGGTGAATTTTTGTGTAGCCATTTTAATATTGAAGATGGAAGAAAATATTCAACATTTTTGGCATATTATACTTCATTATTTCAAGAAAGATAAAAACACAGTTGAAATGCAAAAAATGATTTGTTCAGTGTATGGAGAAGGTGCTGTGACTGTTCGAACATGCAGAAGTGCTTTGCAAAGTTTTGTGCTGGAGATTTCTCACTGGATGAAGCACCAGTCAGGTTGAAGTTTATAGCAGTCAAATTGAGACATTCATTGAGAACAATCAACATTATACCATGCTGGAGATAGCCGACATACTCAGAATATCCAAATCAATAAAGTAACTGGTGAAAGTGAAAAAATGTGTCTTTTATTTTACGGAAACAACCATATGGACTTTTTAACCAACCTAATACTTTGTCTACATCAACTTCATTTTAAGTTCATTTTAAAATGTTCTACTGATGTGACTGGATTGTGAGTTTGAAATTTAAACATATAAAAAGAACCATAGTATCTGATTTCTCAGCAATTTTCTCTATTATCCTTTTATGACATTGCTAACTGAGTTTTTCTCTTCACCAGGAAAAATGGGTTGAAGTTGCCTCAATGAAAGTGCCTAGAGCAGGCATGTGTGTTGTGGCAGTCAATGGGCTTCTGTACGTTTCTGGAGGTCGATCTTCCAGCCATGATTTCTTGGCCCCAGGTACTTTGGACTCAGTTGAAGTTTATAACCCTCATTCAGATACCTGGACAGAAATTGGTAACATGATCACCAGTCGTTGTGAAGGAGGTGTTGCTGTACTATGAAATATAAACTGTAAGAGAACACAAGAAACATTTTGAAAATATAAGATCTGAAGTTTTGCAAATCACACACATATTTGGTCATAGGACCTTTTGATTCTGTTGAGTTTTTCATGTATTTGATAAATTACTAAAGGATTTTTCTAAGAATTTGAGTGAGAAGGGATATGGAATATATCCTAAATTAATAAAAAGTTCACAAAAATTTTCCAAGCTTACTAATAGAAATGCTATTTATGCCCTTGAATTGTCCAGTTAGGAATAGAGTCCTGTTTGTAAAAATGATTTGCTAGAAACTTCTTGGCAAATAGCCCCTTTAGTGACTTCTCCAGTGCAATTCAAGCTGTAACATGACTCTAATGTGATGTAAGAGTAACAGTGAAACAGTTTAAAGATGTTTATACATTCATGATTCAATCCAGAGCACAATTTTCCATGACCATAGTTTAACCTACAGCAAAAAGCCAGTAAACTATTTCCTGCTTTTGTTTGATGCTACGAGTTTCACTAGTCCTAAATTTTTTATTGATAACAGATATATTGAGAGGTACATGTGGGAAATCTCTAACTATATAGATATTTATTTATATATGTTTTGACCTGTTGATAACAGCATAAAAAAAGCTTTTGCTCACTTAGTTTTTTGTCTTGATGCTGAGGATGCAAGTGGGCAATTAAGTGGAGGTTCTTAGTGATAGTCCTTTATTGCAACAGGGTGATAGAGCCAGTAGAGGGTATGCACCTAATAAATTTCTTCCCCGTTTTCTAAGTAGTCACCAAAAATATCTTTTTGGCTTTGGGAAGATGGAATTTTATTAGATCATCAAGCTTTGTGAAGCTTACTTACACTTGGACAAGCTTAAGTATGAGCTTACTACAAAGCTACTGCCTGGCTTGGAGAAGATGGAACTGTAGATGCCTGTGAAAATTCTTAGACACTGATTCATAAGATGAAAGTCTTCTGATCCAAAACTGCATCTCAAAACTTCTCATTTCCCCCCCATAAGAAGCATTTAAAAAAACTGTTCTATCTAGTTCTGAGCAGAAAATTCATGTGCATGATCATCACTTTTAAGTTATTTCTACTAGTCAGTTGGAGCCATTTGTGTTAAAGATTGCATACATTTAGATTTACTTAGCTGATTCCAGGATTTGATTAGTATATTCCTGATTCCCCCTTTTCTTTAATAAAGTCCTTGAGAATATTGTTAGAAGCATCAACAGCTTATTTAGATAGAAAGCTCTTGGTAAGCATCGAAGACTCAGCTTTCGTATCAAACATATTTAGATTGCCCCACAAAGATACTTTTCTTCATAACTTAACCATAAGCTTGTATTAGGAAAAGCTTATGTAATGCAGACAGAAAGTTCTGAAAGTCTTAAGAGTCAAGATAACTGGTTGGGATCTGTAAAATGTCAAGGAATGAAGTGTCAAGATAATTGATAGACTATTTAAGCTTATATGCCTTTAATGTTCCTAGTTACAGAGAATCTGCATTCTGATTCAAAAGACATTTACAAAATGCTCCTATAATTTAATTCTCATTATTAGCTGGCATCCTAAAATGGCAGCATGAAGAGAGGCATTATGTGCTGCTGTGGCAGAAATGTAATGTCAAGACAATCAGTGTTTGGGCTTTATCGGTCCAGATAATCCCAGAAGAAGATAATTGTATATATGCTGATTCCTAGGTGATGACAAATTGCTTTAAAAACAATGTACTAATAAAGTATTTTGATTGTTGCTTTTCCATCTGAGATTTTGCTTTCCCTTCAGTAGAAACATCTTCTGAAGAATGAGGGTTTTCTTCATTATCAGGCTGTAGTAAACTGTTCTCTACATTAATAAGGATCATGTGGTCGTATCAGCCATGGTCTTTAACTGGTAAACTTCTCAGTGATCTGAAGAAGTTCTAGCTCTATGGTGTTTTTATACACACACGTGCACGCACACACACACACACACATTTTTGCTTAGGGTTGCTGGAATAAAGTACCATAGAAATATAAACAAAAGAATTTATTGTCTTAGCTTCAGAGGCTGGCAGTCTGAACTTACAGTGCTGGTACAGTTAGTTCCTTCTGAGGGCTGAGACAGGGATCTGTTCCTGGCTTCTCTCCTTCACATAGCCATCTTCATGTGCTCATGGCATTCTCCCTGTATGCATGTTTGTCTCTAAATTTTCCCTTGTTATAAGAATACCAGTAATATGTTATAGCCTACCCTTAAGACCTCATTTTAACCGTATTCTGTAAAGACTTATCTCCAGATAAGGTCATATTCTTCAATATTGGGGATTAGTACTTCAACACACACTTTAACCCATAACAAATATGTAAGAAAGTAAAGAGGTTACCAGTCCAAACTCTCATCTTTCCATAGCAAGAATCACTAGAGTGGAAATCATATGTAAATAATTCATGTATGAAATATTTGAATACTTAAGCAAAGATAACATACCAGGTAATATAATTTCCTTATTTATAGTCTTATACTATTCTTTTTCTTACATTATATAAAACGTTTTTCCTTTTTTATGCTACTAAGAATCTCAGGAAACAAGGTTTTCAAGTTAAAATTCTAAGGTAATGCTTTAGCTGTTTTCAAAAAGCTTTCTTTGAGATAACATGTAAAACTATAGGCAACATTACTAGCCATCAGAGAGAAGAAGCAAATTAAAACCACAATGTGCTATTACCTCACACCTGTCAGAATGGCCAACATTAGTATATCAACAGACCACAAGTGCTGGTGAGGATGTAGAGAAAAGGGAACCCTAGTGCATTGTTGGTGGGAGTGCAGACTGGTGCCGCCACTGTGGAAAACAGTGTGGGATTTCCTCAAAAAGTTAAAAATGGAACTGCCTATGACCCAGCAATTCCACTGCAATAGCTACATGTTGGAAACAGCCCAAGTGCCCATCAATAGATGAATGGATTAAGAAACTGTGGTACATTTACACAATGGAATACAATGCAGCAAAAAGAAAGAATTCCTACCTTTTGCAACAGCACAGATGGAACTGAAGACTGTTATGCTAAGTGAAATAAGCCATTTGGCAAAAGACAAATACCATATAACCTCACTTATAACTGGAATCTAATGAACAAAATAAAGAAAAATAGAACCAGAGACATGGATATGTGGAACAGACTGATAGCTTTAGGAGGAGTGGGAAGAAGGGGGAATGGTGGAAGGAAGGGCGAATGGTGGAAGGAATGGGAAGGGATTAGTCAAAGAACATGTCTGAATGACTCATGGACATGGACAATGGAAAGGGGACTGACTGTGGAAGAGATGGGTAGGCTGGATGGAGGGGGTGCCAAAGGGAAAAAGATTGGGATAACTGTAATAGAATAAACAATTTAAAAAAATAAAGTAGAAAAACAAAACATGTAAAGCCAGTTAGCCCCTTTCATTAGAATATCAGGATGGCTCCAGCTTGACTTTTCCTAACTTTATGCATTAGTGGCTTTATTCTTTTAAATAATTTTGACTCAGTGGTGTTCTTTTTGTTGATAAGTTGCATCTATACTCTGCCAAATATCCTGATAAAAACTAAAATATGTGTCCAGTTTCTCTTCAAAAGTTACTTCCCCTTGTGATAATACTCCCAAATGACTTTAGAGCCAAAGATCCTTTCAGCTCATATAACTAAGTTATACCAGGTAAAATGAACTTGCAAATGCAATTACCAGGGGCAACTTAAATGAAAACTCTGCCCTGGAACAGCTTATTACTTTCAGACATTCATGGACTGAAGTTATTCTCCCGAAATGGGAGAATATGTGTTTTTCTTCAGTGATCACAGTCTCTAGCAAAAGGGATTTTTCATCTTTTTTTATTTTACATTTTTCAAATTAAAACATTGAAATGTATGAATCTTATATAATTCATAACACTGAATGAGAACTGTAACCTAATATGACATGAAAAGGACTTGTTAGGGATTTTCAAGCTGTTGATCATATAATTCCTATGAAATAAAGATTTCTAGAAACGAAAAAAATGTGACTAAATTATCATTGGTGGGAAACAGAATTAAACAGTAGTAGAAGAAAAAGGAGATGCAAAACCTTACAAGGTTTGTAACTAACATGCTAACGTCATCTACAGGGTAGTTTTATACTTACTCTACTTGACCAGGTCTCTTGGGTCCTTTCTCTGGATAAATATCTTTAAGTAGTAAAGTGATTACAAATGATAAAAAGGCAACTAAAGTGCCTACTATCCTTAGGGCTTTGAACCAATTGGGATAATGTGGCAAGAGAAAAAGTTCAGTATGTAATGCTATCCCTAAACCTATTATTACTGTGACTATAGCTTCACTGAGCCTTTCAGAAATAAGGAAGGCAAGCCATGAAAACACAACAGGAGCTGTACTACTAGCTAAATTGAGGAAGTCTGATTTGGCTGGACTACCTTCAGGAAGAGCAAAACCCCATCTGATCCCTCCCAAGAAAGATAGGAAACTGGCTCCATAAGCCATCTGAGTAAAAGCTAATGCAGGGATATAAGTCTCTGCCATCACCATGATCAATGGTGGTGCAAAGAAGGGGATTAGTCCCGCCAAAGATACATAGATTGCTGGCTTTGGGCTGTCAGGCAGGTACATGATAGTTTTTGGTGGCCTGGCTGGAAGTACTGGCTGCTTCTTAAAGGTGCATGGAGAAGTATGGTAATATTGTGTCTTGCTCATACACACTAGAAAGGATGAGAAGGGCCAAGGCCTTAGAAACACAGGTGAAAAGTTCTGCTGGAGACATGTCTTGAGAGAAAGTGTTTGTGTTCTCCTGCTAGCTCCTAGACCGACTCTGAACGGGTACTTCAGCATCTACAGAGAAAATAGAACCAAAAGACAAAAACACTTTTAAAAAATCACCAAATGTCTTAGTTAATTCCAACATAGAACAATTTAAAAACAAATTATCTACCTTCAGTTAGCACACTGAACTTTACAGAAAGGTTGGACTACAGAGTGATGTTATTGCTGGCTAAGGCTATTAACAACTATACAAAATCCAAAAGAAACTACTGAATAGAAACCAGCAATGTTTTGGCTTACCGCTTATTTTATCCCATGAGAAATATATCTCCAAGAACAGGTAAAGACTGGATGTTCACTTTTTGGCATTCTAAACTGCCTCTTCTATTTATAAATTGCAAAAGCAGTTATACTAACCACTGGGAATTCTATTCTATGTAGGGAAAAGCAATCTACCTTCCAATTTATGGACACTTCATACTTTCCATAGCTCCATGCCTTTCTACATGTCTCTGCCTAGAATTCTGGCTTCTACTTTACTATTTGGGAACTTGTCTTTCCAAATTCAGCTTAAAGCTTTCTCCCATCTGGTTTAATGCTCCTATTAATAAGTACCCTATGTGCACTTCCACTATAATTCTCACAGTGAACTAAAATTGTGTTTATTTGTCTGAGTAGACGTGAGAGCCAAGGCCATATTTTTTGCCTTAAAAAAAAAAAAATCCCTAGTGCCTTTCATGCTATATGGCCAAATATCCTTGCCTGCTGATTCTATGCTTTAGTGAGCCAATTCCAAACTTCAACTAATAGATCAACAGTAAGTCAAAAAGTGTTAGATGAAAGGAAAAGTGAAACAGTTATTTAAGAATCTTGGTAATACCTCAAAATGCTAGGAATGATTCCATCTTGGGGCCTACTTTTTCCTTTTGTCTAGAATGTTCTTCCCTGAGCTATTTGCATGGCTCATTCCCTAACTTTTGGCCACCCTATTTATGTAAGGTGTAATCATAAGTCTGTTGTTGACTATATGTATTTCCTTCCTCTGCTTTATAGTTCTCTACAGCACTTACATATTAAATACTTTACTTTTTTGTGTTTTACCCCCACCCCCACCCCCAAATATATGAGGATAGGACTTTTTGTCCTTTTTCACTGCTATTACCCAGCCAAACCATGTCTGGCAAGTAGTGCTCAAATATTTGCCGAATAAACCAACCTTTGAAGATGCTTGAAAAAACTTCTGGATGAAGTGAAGCATACTGGGCCCTAATGAAGTCTTGCTCAGGAGGATGCCAGGTAGTACTGATTAATGTATTTTTACAGCTAAATGGACGGGCTGAATCAGAAGCATGTTGCTGTGTACAAAATAAAATGTCACTTAATTTTCTTCATTTATAATTTTCAAAAAGTAACTCGAGAATTTCTTCCATATAACACAGTTTCCTTTGAGAACATCATTAATTAATGTTTTCAGAAATTCAGTAACATGTTAATAGATCCTTTCCCTTCTCTGAAAAGGGTAATGCATAGCCCTGGCTAGGGCAGCTAAGTGGGTTGAGTGTAGGCCTGCAAACCGAAAAGTTGCCAGTTCGATTCCCAGTCAGGGCACATGCCTGGGTTGTGGACTAGGTCCTCAGTTAGGGGCATGCACCGCCATCATTTCCCAGCTGTGTGAACTTAGATAAACTGCTTCCTTAAAGGGCCAATTTTATCATCTTTAAAACTGAAGGTCATTGTATCTCTGTTCTCTTTTTTTTTCCCCTCCTTAGTTATCTATTTTGGCACTTAGAAGTTTACAGCCCAAAATAGTGATATAAAAATACTAGACAGTATTTTCAACCAGACAGTGTAGCTATATGTTTTATATGCATCAAATCATTTAATACAATAACCTCATGAACTTGGTGCTGTAAGACTGTATAACCTATTAAGCTAAAGCACAGACTTTGGAATCAAACAGTCTGGCTCAACCACTTATTAGCTATATGACTTTGGACAAGTTATTTAATCTTGCTGTGGTGCAGTTCACTCACCTTCAAAAATAAGGATTATAGTAACTACACAGGGTCATTGTAAAAACTAAATCAGTTAATACACCTAAGGAGCTGAGAACTGTCCCTGACACAAAGAAAGCACTAAAAAAAATGAGCTTTTATGTTCTCCTTACACCAGAGGGAATGGTTAAGAACCCTGTATAATATAAGCAACTAGTAAGTGAGAATATAAATCCCAATGTCTTATGCGAGTCCCATTCTTAACCAGGAGAATGAGGTGTCTAAAAAAATCCAAAAGCCACAGTTGTCACTTCATTAACAATTTTAATGCACTAATTTCTTGATCACAGATCTGAGAACTCCTGTATACAAGTCGATGTCTTCATTCTATACATAGGAAGCAAGTAGGAAGTTAAGTTATCCTGGGCTTCTGAGTACATCTTAATATCTACTACATACACCTCCTGACTCCGAGACACACATTTACCTGCGGGGCCCACGGATACCTTTGCTCAGTATCACCCGTGTACGGGTCTCTAGACCACCCCACTTAAACTCTCAGCGCTCCCTCCATCTTTGGAACTCCCTATGCATTGTGATATGTGCTTTCTAACTGATGGCTTAAAAGCGAGTAAGTGTAGCCTAAAGCCCGGGGAGGGCCAACTGGTGAGGAAATTAAGGACGGATCCAAGGGTTAATCCGCTCAATTCAGGCGAAAACGCTCAGTATTTATACTGCCCCCCCCCCCAAAAAAAATTGCAAACTGCAAGCCTCAGAAAAGGATGTGGAGTCTGGACACAATGATCCACGGCAAACTTTTCCCGACAATGCCCGCAGCTCTAGTTTACTGCCAACCCTTAGTGACCCCTGTCCAACTTGCACCTCTGGAAGCAGCCCTGCTACTCACTTGCCAGTGCCGCGCGGGAAGATGGAAAACTGAGCTGCAGGAACAGCCAGGTATTCTTGAAAAGGAACTTCCGGCAAGTAGGGATTAGCTAGTCCCCAACTTCCTGACGATCGGCGCGGGGGCGGGGGGAATGATTCCGGGTGAGGACTTGACTAGCGCTAAGTGGTTCCCATGCTGGACTTTGTTTCCGCCTTGGGTTATTAATTCTAGTGAAAGCCGCTTTTTGAAGTCTGTAGGATAGCTGAACGATCCTGGCCTCTCTCTATTCTAGGTTTCCCAGCCAGTTAGGGAAGCTGAAGTGTAATTCCTGAAAGTCTCAGAGTGATAGTGGAAGAAGGTAGGAGAGACTTGGAGTCTAGGCCAAGTGTGACTTGGCCAATTTGCTTCTCACCTCTGCAATTCATCTTTTAGTTTACATAACAGGGTTTCTAGGATCGACGGGGCACAACTGCGCAGTAGGGTCCTGAACTACTAATACTATTTAAGAAAAAAAAAAAACCAAAAAAACCTGTCTACTTCTATCCTTTTGCTGGGACCTGGAACTTCATTAAGAAAGAACACAAGACCCCGTGAGAGGAGTGGTGGTAAGAGCTTTGGGGGTGATTCAGAAAGATCATTCGTCCCCTTCGTTTTAACTTTTGTCGGGTGTGTGACCTAGGGCAAGTCCGTTCCCTTCTCTAGGCCTCCATTTTACAGCCTATCAAAGGGGAACAGCACCAAGCAACTTGAGCGGTCTTCTTAAGACAAATAAGAGGAAAACTCAAGGGGCCCACGCTAGTCAGTTCCTCCATCCCTCCAGATTCTGGGTAGCTTAGTTTCCTGGTCGCCGGCCATCCTGTGGTTTAGCTTCCAGTGCAGGATGGGCTTACAGCAAATTCTCCATAATAGTAACCGCTTCTAGTCGGGAAAAGCTTTCACTTTTATTTCCTTCTTTGTCTGTCATGGCAGCGCCGCCCCTTCCCGTCGTGCAATACCCAATGAGACTAGGTCGGAGAACCGCTTCTCCGCCAGGAATTGAGGCCAGATATCCGCACTGTGCTGGGTCGGGGGCGTGACGCCAACCGTCGGGCGGAACTACTACTCCCAGCGGGTAGTGCGTCGCACCCAGCCGCGCTGGCCTCTAGAGCCCGGCGCTGTGGCCCGCGGGGCGCTGGAGTCTTAGCAACACGCGCACGTGAAGGAGCGGAAGGTGAGAAAGGGTCGGCAAACGCATGCTCCTACGAAACCGGTTTGCTGGTACTTGCAGAGGTAATTTGGAGACGGGTGCTTGCCCAGAGGTGAGGTGTGGGAGGGTAAAGAACGAAGGGGCGGGGAAAACCGGGTACACAGAGACGCACCACCCAATCATTGACACGCGTCCAGGCCCTAGTGCTGGGCAGGAGCAACAGAGGAGTACCAAACTCGGATGGCCGCCGCCTCTAGCTGCTGAGAAGGAAGCTGGGGGGCGGGGCAGGGAATAACTGCCGTTCACGCGCCCGAACGTTGGCAGCGCGGGGCAAGGGCAGGGTCATCGGAACAGGGCGCGTGCGCTTGCGTCCCCAGTGGGCGGTGGAGTGGGTGGGCGTGTGTGAGGCGGGGTTGAATGGGGGCGGGCTGGGCTGGTCATCGCTCCTCCCCCTCCATCCGCTCTGCCCCTCCTGGACCTTGTGGGCCGGGCAGCCATTTTGGAAAGAGCTTTGTTATGGTTCTGGGCTCTCCACCTCTGCGGGATCAGGAAGCTGAGGACGCACCCTCAGACTCCGCGTTTGGTCCCTAGTCGTAGCCTGGCCGCTGCTCGGTGAGTAGGAGTTGCAGACCATGGGGTAGTAAAAGATCTAGCGTCTTGCTGGCGCCGGACTCCGCCCGGTGCCTGACCGGCCGGCTGTCGAAACAAGTTAAAGGAGGCTCTCACACAGGTGGTTGGGTGTAGGTCGGCCCCGGGAAGGGGAGCGGAGTTTACAGTTCTCGTTTTTCGCACCGCACACCCCCTCCCCCTCCGCGCACGGCGCTTTAAGCAAGAGCGTCGCAGTGTCTCTGCCAGAGTGCTCCTACTTTAACTTTGGTCTGCGGGTCGGAGCGCTCACCTGCGGCTCTCTGGCTCCTTTCCAGGCGTTTCGGCTTGGCGGTTGAGTGACTTGGTTTACGGGTTTCTTTTTCTTTTTTTCTTAAGTTAGAGCCAACGGCTTTTTTCCAGTGAAGGAAAATCTAGGGAAATAATTGTCTAAGTCAAGTGTGGGGTATGAGGGGGAAAATCCATTAGCCTCTAGCGTTCTGGTTCTCCTTGGTAGCTAGGTATCTTCGTTGATTTAGGTTAAGTCCATCCAGCAGCGACCTCCCCCACCCCCGGAAAAAAGCTGGTAGGTTTTGAAGTAAAACGAAAAATTTTTTTCTGTTTTAAATCTACCTCGTGCCCCCCCCCGCCCCCCGCCCCCGTGAAATTCAAAAGAAGGGCTGAATCTAAAATGGCTGTAGCTTGGGGAAGTGCCCTGAGATTCGGCAACTTAAATACGTTAAGCCGTCTGAAACTTTTAGTTGTTTCATCTACGGGGACACAACTGAATTTTTTTATCTTTTGGTCTTCTCGCAACTGATGGTTTATCTTCAAGAGTCCTTGATAGATGAAAAGCAAGGTGAGGCCAAAGAACTTTGCTTACTCCAAAAGTTTACATAAGAGTGGGTGCGGGGTTTGTTACAGTTGCGTTTAGTTTTGAAATTATGCTTAGTGGTAGTCAGCCAACTTTATATTCCGAAGTTGGTTTGTCATATTTGTTGAAATACTTGCTGTTAGCGTTGATATTTATTGCTTGGGAAAAGCGGAGTTCATGGGTGGTTTATATTATAGTTTAATAACAGAACCCTATCCAGAAGTAGAGTTGACTGGTAGTCTTTAATGGACTTAGATTTGTAATTCGGTGGACCGCTGGCTTTTTCTAAGGTCTTTTATGTATAATACTTAAAAGGGAGTCAGAGTGCTGTTAAGTCTGGGACATTTATTAGAAGGGTGTAAGACAACTAAAAACAAGCTTCAGCTGTGGAGTGCCTGATTTTTGTGCCCTTTTAAACAAAAGACTGTCTTTTTGTTTGCCTTTTTTTTTTTTAACCATAAGATCCAGAAGTCTAACTAAAAACAAAAAGGCATAGAATGGAAACCAGAAACAGTTAATTAACGTCAGTGTTTGGGGAGGTGCTTGAGTTTCAAGTTGTAATCTGTCTACAAGATAAAATAATAAAATGCTGATGTGAATGGGAACTTTGTAATTAATAGTAAAATAAACTGTCATCTTCCCTAGGGAGTGAGTTTCAGTTTACCTTCCTACATTGTTTCAGTACAAAAGTCTATTTTTGTCAATTCTTTTAGGATTTTTTTGTTTTTATTTTGGTGGTTTAACAAGAGAAGAAAAACATTTAAAGAGCTTTATGGAAATTACAAGTCAGTTTGTTTTTTGCTATCATTGACTACTGGACACATAGGTGAGACCTTACTGTATTTTTTTTTCCCCCGACTATTCAAAATGGTTTGTATATGTTGATATAAATATTCTTTCAGTTGATTCTGGATGGTATCTTAGAGCTCTTGAAGTTTTGGGGGAAAGTGTTTTGAAGCCTTTTATATTTTGAATGAATTGAACTATGAAGTTTTCTCCATCCGTGGCTGTTTAAAAGCTTGGCTGAGGAGGACACAGGCTACTGCTTTAATAAGTTAGGAATAGTAAGATATCTGGGGTACATTTCTGCTTATTCATTTCTAAATGCCCAGTTAAAAAGAAAACAATTCTAAATCAGACTTCAGCAGGTTGCCTACCTGTTTTATGATTAAACTGTATACACTTAATAACAGTGGTAACTCTAATGTACCAGGGACTGACTGTTGCTCAAAGTGTTTTATATTTATTAATTTGTTATTCCTATGAGGTAAATGTTGTTTTACCCCCTCATTTTTTGGTTGAAAATAATTCTTAAGACTTATCCAGCAAGTGGGTAGTAGAGCCTGTATTCAAAGTTAAGCAATCTGTTTCTAAAAGTCATTGTGCTTAATTAAACGTTAGGGCTGCTTCCTTGAACCATGAAAATAAGGCTGTTGAAAAGATGAGAGAGACAAACAATTTTAAAGGATACCAACTGGAAATGTAGTTCATGGAAAAGATAAATTTTGGTGTGTGTGTTTATGGCTTTTCAACTTGAGAAAAAAATGTAGGTATGCATAGATAACATGCTACCTCATACATGACTGTTAGTTCCATTGTCTGGAATTAATATGTGTTTCTGCTGAAACTTAGTTGCCCAAGTCACATCCAAATCAAACTCTGATTTTTATTTCCCACTGAAGTCTGCCCAGAACAAAACTGACTACAGTCAACCTTGAAATAACATAGTTCAGTAAGCAGAGCTGAACTTTTGTCCAAAAGCATATCATAAGAGGTAGAAAATATTACTATTGTTGTTAAGTAAATCGAATTTGTATAGGTGATTTCAAATACACTAGGCAGGTATTTAAAGGGTTCTAAATGTTATTTTCCTTTAGTAAAGTAAATAGCCTTCAGTTGATCTCTTGGGCAAACTATTATTCATTTTTTTAGACAAAACTTGTCATTCTCCTTCTAAGAAATGCTAGAAGCTTTATGGTGCCAATTTCAGTGTGCTAGGTGCTAGGAATACCTAGATGACTTTAAAACATTTCTGCCCCCAAAGAACTTATTAGTTTAACAAGTAAGCACAAAAATATTCACAGGCAGCAATATAGAAAGCTGTCTTTTAAGGAGTTGATTTTTTAACATACTCATTAAATTTACCTTCCTTTCCTATGATAAAACCAGTTTACCTTATATGAACCAGACATCAGGCTAGAGAATCACCAGCATAAACAAAGTTTTAGTGCACTTTATGAGCAAGTAGGTCTATTTGTGTGCAATAAGTTTTGTTTGTTTTTAATCAAATTCATTTAAGTTTGGCTATACTTTAAATTTAGATTCCAAATTCTTGTTTCTGCTGATTATAAGTTTAAATTTCATTGTATAAAATATTCTTTTCTGAATTATTGCTATTCTTGAAGTTTTTAAGTATGTTGAAATGTTGGTTTGGGTACTCGTTGGTTAGTTAATTAAAAGGTAGAGCTGTTTCACTGTTTTTGCTATGTGTTTATGAAATTATTAGCTCTACTTTTTAATTAGTCTTGCCAGGAAGGGTAGTGAGAACCATTTGTTGTGGCCTTTGTAAGCTAGAGCCTATAATGCAGTGTATGTATTCTCATTGTTCCTTAAGACACTTTAAAATAAACAACCCTTCTACAAGTGAGTGTACAGAGGTTCTGAGAAGTTAAATAATTTATATAACATAAGGAGAAATGGGGGTTTAGGCAGTTTTATCTGATTCCAAAATGCTCTTTCCACCACATCATACAGAGAGATAGTATGATACGGTAATTAAGGGCACCGACTTTATAGCCTAAGTGTGAACCTCAGCATTGCCACTTATAGCTTTATGACCTTGGGGGAGTTTTAGATGAAGTTTCTGTGCCTGTTTCTTCCTCTGTTAAATGAGGACAGTAACCTTCTCATAGGGTTATCGTGGTTAATAAATGAAATGATATTTGTGGAGTTCTTAAAACAATGCCTGAAAATAGCAAGCACTTCATAATTGTCAAGTTGTCTGAAATTGTTTTTAATGAACATCTTTTTACCAGCTTAGTGAAATCTGAACAGATCATTGCACATGCGTTTTTGTTTTGTTTCGATTTCCTCAGATATGTTTCTGTTGATTTTTCTAGTTTTTTTGAATCAGAATCCAGGTCCCATACACTGTAATTGACTGATGTTCTTTCAAGCCTCTTAATTTGTATGTTTCTTCTCTCTTTTCTACTTACACTTTTTAAAAAGAATTCATTTATTTTTTTTTAGAGAGAGGGGAAGGGAGGGAGAAAGAGAGGGAGAGAAACATCAAAACATCTCTCAGTTGCCTCTTGCAGGCCCCAATCCAGGCATGGGCCCCGACCAGCAATCATTCACTAAACCCACTGAGCCACACCAGCCAGGGCTCCTCCTTGTATTTTGTTGAAGAAGCCAGGTAATTTGTCCTGCCTAGTTTCCCATATTCTAGATTTTCCTGATTTCCTGTAAATTAGTCGTTGGATACAGAGGCTTAAGTTGAGATTGATTTTGCTGGGGTGGGGGTGCAGGGCGTGAGGAAAAGACTTAACTTCATAGGTGGTTTTGTGTGTTTTGGGATCCCCTGCCACAGGCCCCATTCAGTATTAACTTTTCAGGTAGTTTGTT